AAGAAGAAGAAGAAGAAGAAGAAGAAGAAGAAAAGAAGAAGAAGAAAAGAAGAAGAAGAAGAAGAAAAAGAAGAAGGAGAAGGAGAAGAATCAATATCGTCAAGTGCCAGATCTGCAACAGACATCTGCGATCATGGTTCTACACTTGCTCGGATGCTCCTCGAAAAGCTACATTATCACCGTTTTCCCCCGTCGTTCATCTGTTTAGGCTCTCCAAATAGGTTGCCCTGGGTCTTCCCCTGCCCAGTTTGTCTTCAAATTTTACCAGTGAGAGCTAGATGTTCAACACTTTTATGACTGTTAGGTGTTCCAAATACTGCACTTGTCTTTTCATGATTGTGTTATCAGCGAACGACCCAAGAGAGCTTCTTCAAGTACTACATCATTTGACTTCTTTTCTTTCCTAGATATTCTTAGCATTCTTCTAAGAAACTACATTTCTGCTGCTTCTATTTTATTTTCACTGTCTTTAGTGATTGTCCAGCATATTCTGATATCACATTGGTGACGATTTAAGTAGGCCTACCCTTCTCTTGCTTTGCAACCCAACCCCTGAGCTACATATGCTGACGAATGCGCACGTTATAGAAGAAAATTATGACAAACAGGGTGTGATAGAAGGATTAAAGACTAGCGATGATGCATACTCACATTCAAAGACAATTTAGACCAAGAGACTTCATGTTTTCTTTTTTTGATCATGTGAAGAATTCTTTGAAGTGTTTGTGTTGCACAGTATAAATTTTCATTAAGAGGGATGTTGAAGACATGTTTCTTCTTTTTATGTCCCCATTGTGTTCCAAGTGGGGATTTGAAGAAAAGGACTATGGTTTGAACATCACCAGTATTTCTCCTATTGTCTCCAAGTGTATAGCAATTCCAATTAGTTACGTGCTGCGGGTGGTTGGTGGGTGCTCTGATGTGGTTTCCTCCTTCTTTCCTATCAAACGTATGGTCCTGAACTCCCCTCCTTCTTTTCTGTGTTTGTTACTCTCTTGTAACGCCTATAATCTTCGGCAATTATATAACCTTATTCTGTCGCAAGTGCCGTGAACCTCTTCCTAAAACTAAGAGAAAAGCTATGTGCAACCTCTATGCTCTACAACCTCCACTCACCAGTTCGGGTGCACGTCCGTCCTCGCTGCGTTAGAGTGCTCACTGATGTACCTGATGACCCTGAACTTCCCTGGTTTGATACCCTTAAATAGTGGGGTGGGAACAATGCGGTAGACGTGGCCTTGTATGAAGAAGAAGCGGACGCCATACTTGGGCATCTCCACACCGTCAGGGTAGGGGAATCGGTCCGGTTCTATAAGGCTTGGCTTATGAAAGAACAAAAGGAAAATTGTAGGCAGGAGTTAAATGCATAGAAGGAAACTGGAATGATTTGGTGTGTGTGTGTGTGTGTGTGTGTGTGTGTGTGTGTGTGTGTGTGTGTGTGTGTGTATGTGTGTATGTGTGTGTGTTTGTTTGTTTTGTGTGTGTTTGTGTGTGTGTGCACATGTGTTTGTATGTAAGACGATGTTCAGAGGCTTGTAACAAACTAAATGAAATGTCAAATAATCTTAGATCAAATCTTATAAAGACGATGGTTTTCTTCAACCTTCAAAGTATAATTTCTAAATGTCAGCTATCTTCCAGAGGTCTATTTTCTAAATTTCTTAGCTCTGCTCAATAGCTTGCTTAAAAATGTTCGTTGATGCTGGGATGATGTGGTCAGGTCCTTTTTTCTTGTAATCTTGTGATTTCCAAAGTTCAATTCATTTTTTTCTCAAATGACGCATGTAATGTTTGTAACATTTTGCCTCTCTGCACATATCACAAAAGGAAGTTCCTGTTTCATAACCCAAAGAAACAAAGAATCCGGAATGTAAGAGCAAATTAGGGACTAAATTCGTTTTTATTCTTCGTTGTTTTTTCTTTTTTTTCAGTGCCCAACAATAAACAAAACGGAGGTTTCGTAATGAAACTAACCTATTTTCAAAACACAAAATGGGTAAAGAAGAAAAAAATAAAAAGGGAGAGAGAAAAGGATGATTCAAAAGTCAGTCTACCCAGTGATTTTAACTCAACTGCCGTCAGGCCCTCCGTTGGAAACATGAGAAGGCAGCACGGCGTAACCCATCACTTGGCGCGCAGCTCTCGCCCCGATCACACGCGTTTTTGTGGTACTTGTTTCTTCTGGAACGGACTACCTTTCCCCTCGACAGACGGGTGATGTAGAAACTTTTATATTATACTTAT